AAAGACTTTGTAAGAGCTTCACTTACCTTTTTAGCACATTCACAAGAACTAGCAGCACCTACAGCTTGAGTTTCCATTTTGACATCATTGGCTTGATTGAAAACACTGCCGGGCTCCTTGTTACATTCTTCCATAGCAGTAAAAGCATCAGTACATCCTTTGAGTGATTGAATGAGAGCTTTGTTGACTTCCTCCTGACAGGCACAATCCTCTGCAGTAACAACTCCATTGAGATACAGGAGAGACAAAAGGAACCCAACAGCAACCATAATAGCAGTAGTCATCATGTTATAAAGACGGACCAATAATACCGACTGACACTACGAACTGTGTCATAGTGTTATACCTGAAAGACTTTGTAAATGAAGTGTCGAGTTGTGATTACTTCGCAGAGCCTATTCAAGGTAGCTGGCACTGGGTGAGTGTTTGGTTGTAAGGTGGCTACGTACATGCTTAATTAAATTGCCTATTTTGATTGTAAAATGACAAGGCACACAATTGTACAAATAATATCTAGATCTATAACATTAAATATAATACCAAAACAATTCAATCTTAATTACAAGAGCTATAGATCTAAATACTATTAAGTAATGACATTCTAGGAAACCAGCATATTTCTTCACAACCACTAAAAATTCTGTCCTAAAAAAGATCGAGTGGCATTAATTTAAAAGAACCTTTTATTTTTAAAAGTTAAGACTGGTTTAAAATCGTACTTTATGAAATAAAAATTACATATAATACTTTGTTATTAGCATTAACTTTTAAATACATTATATGCAGCTTAGATTATTCAGAAATAGATTTAATAATAAACAGTTAGTTTGCTTGTTTTTTCTTATAGTTACAAATATAAAAATTTATAAAAATTTAAACTTTATCGAAATCAGCTCAAGGTTTTTACACAACATAAGAGCATGTATAAAAAAAATTATAATTAGATCTATAATCAATACATTTATATATAATAATTAGATTAATTAACTTATATTTAGAGCTTCTACACTATGATTCTAATGCTAAACAGCGCCGAATCTTCATCAGCAGACCCTAACTTCAGTATCATGAGTAGTGGATTGAAAGTATAAGCATTTGTATCTTTTCTGACACAGCAGGGAGTTTTATCAGGAACTCACTGTAGTTTCCTCAGGGTTTTTAGACTCACACATGTATGATAGTTCATATAGATCTAGGTGGTGCTCAAGTATGTTTGTCATTATAGTCTAAGAGTTTTTACACAGCTTTAAGTTTAATTAATTAATCAACTTATGATTGTAAATTAGCAAAATAAGATTATAATAATACTTGTTTTGTAATAATGATAATTAGAGTTTTAGTATATTGCAATGGTTAAGTAACTCAGCCCAAAATCTTCATCAGAAGTAGCTTCATCAGAGCAGACCCTTACTTCAATATCATCAGTAGTAGAGGATGGAAGGACTGCTAGAAAATACTCATTTTTATCTTTTCTGCAACAGGAAGCTTCAACTCCGTCACAATCATACATATTCCATAACAGATCCTTATAGTAAACTTTACCAGGAACTGCAGTTTCCTCAGGGTTTCCAGACTCACAGAAGTAATTATTACCAATGAAATCAGGTACCTTTACAGTGCTACCTGTAGCACAAGGACATACTGGCTTCTTTTCTGATGATGATCCCATGAAAGTCCAGATGTGCTTACGTGGAGATTTTCCGTATGTCAGACTAACCCCATCAACATAGGCATCATCAATACTACCAGGTCTACTAGGGCCAGATATACCATCAGGTGTACCTATTTGAAAAGCATTCACCTCTGCACAGACACGATCATACTGTATATTATGAGTTGGAACGTTAATAGAGACACAGCCTCCTGACTTACTGGTCTGCCTAACACAGCGTTTGGCACCATCAAATTCTTTGAAAACAAATCCTTCAGGACAATTA